TATTTATTTATTTATATTTATATATATACAAGTTTTATAGGAAAGATTACTATAGAATTTTTAACCAAAGAGCAGATTGCGACATCACGACAGTAATTTATTATCTTTTTATTTCATATATGCTAGTTATATATTTCAAGAACTGAAATATGCCATTAAAAAATTTGTTATTAGAAATTTGCCATGTTTCTCAGTAAGATAGACCTTATTGTGACACTATTTATTTTTACACTAAAAACATACACTGAAAGAAAAAATATCTGAAAAATAACGAATATTCATTCGGTAGACACTAATAACAATATACTTAAATCTGAGTTCTTTTGTTTAAATAAAATAAACAATTGCTTTTGGTGAAAAGAGAGAGTAATAGTTTCGCAAAAGTATATATCTTGTCATTTGAAAGAAATCTTTTTCAATGTGAAAAATATGTATATTAAAATAAAAATATATGTATATTAAAATATAATATTTAAATATGTTAATTAGTGCTTATCGAATAAATATTTTTATTTCTTAGACATTCTTTTTTTTAGTGTAACAAAACTGAGAGGAATTGATATGAAAAATAAAACGATAATATTCATTACGTATATATTATTATGTCTTTATATTATATTATCATTAGATTTTATATGTGTAATTACAACATTTCAATCGGATCACTTCGCGATAATTGGTGTCCGAGCGGTCCGGAAAAATATTTCAAAAAAATATTCCAAATGACACACACTTTGCCAATAATTAAACGCACCAAGCAGCTGTCGCGCTTGGAATTGCCGGGTGATCGACGCGAACTGCATTGTATATCGCGTTGTTTCGATACGATGTATCAAAAGCATTCGTCGCAAGATCGCTCGCGCCTTTTCTCCTCCCCGAATCGAGCACGTGCACGCCATGTGCGAACGCGAGCCTAATTGTGCACGCGTACACATGACGATCCGCGTTCGCCAGCCAGTTCTCGCACATGCATGCGAATATATAATAGGTCCGTTCGTGCTGCTTGTACTTTTGACACTTTAACACCCAACGTCCGTTGTACACTAGTCTCTCTTTGGAAAGAAGAGCTCTCATTGGATATCGCTCATTGCGTGCTCTGGCATGCAAAGGGCATTATGTATAAAAGTGTCAAAAGTACAAGCAACGTGAACAAAGCTAATAACGTCAAAAATGTGGATTTCATAGCTCGCGCGCGCTGCTCAATGCCGCAGTGGAAGAGTTCCTGTAGATTACAATCGATTCCCGGTTAAATTCGATCGATCAGAGTATTAACTCAATCTAACTCGAAAGTTCATTTAGAATACATTTCTCTCTCTCTCTCTCTCTCTCTGTCTATCTCTCTCGAAGTTTCAAAGCCGCGTACTTGACTTTTAAACGCGTACGTCAAATATGTAAATTCGCGGGCTCCACTTCGCCACAATGTCGCTATCGTTTCGTTTTTAATGCAATGAAGCTACCACATTCCTCTCGACGAGAGAATAACGCAAACACCACTCGACTCAGTTTATCCGCGTGCACGTTAAAAAAAAGCATTGCTACCTAAAACCCCAAAGAAAGTTTCGCGACGAAAGGTCGTCGGCTAATTATCCGAGGAACAAAGTACTTGTTCTCGTGCCTTCGACTTCGGGCGATGCCATTTGCGACTCCACGCGCGGTGTAACTTTGTTTTCGCGTTGCTTACTCGCGTCCATTTCCATTATTTCCGCGCGATTTATTGGCATAGGTGCGCCGGCTCGCGAACGTTATCGTAAATGGTCGCTCGCGCGGGCGCGCGTGGTTTAATTATAGAAATGGAACCGCGTACCTGAGCTGACCATACGTATGGTGGAGTGTGGTAGCCTATGGTGATCCTGGCGAAGAGAGTACATTTTTAGTAAAACTATAAATAATCCGGCGCAATAAGAGCACGCGGGAGTCGAATACCTGGGTCACCAGACGTTTTCGTTCGCTCGCGCGGACACGAAACCATCGAACTCGAGCGATTCGCGAGTCAAGACCTCATCGAATAGATATGGTCTCGATTTGTGAAGAAACGCGGGGAGCACGCGTGTTTCTCGCGTAAAACACCGATTGCGAGCGCGCGAAGTGTCTGATTGGCGTAATCTTATCCGAGTGTGTGTTTCTCTTTCATCAATCAATGTAGGCGAGACCGGGACTACATAACCTCAGGAGTATGTTGCTTATGTATTAAGTAGGTTCAATTCTAATGATACAATTTATTTCTACATTGACTCTGATGATGTCCGAAATTTCTGTTTTCACTTTCTTTAGTGTCAAAATAGATTGAATGGAATAGTGAGGTTGAAAGTATCGACTCGGGTAGATTTCGACTCGGGTAGATTAAATAGAATCAAAAGAGATTGATATAGAGGTTTCAAAGTATCAAAATATGTATTGAATTGAACAGTAAGAATGAAAATAGGATCAAAATTTCATCTTCACGGAGAATCTGGAACTACTAATCAGGATACATATTTTATACATGACTTTCTTACCCTGCGTTACCGAACAAGTAAACCCGGTACCAAAACAAGATGGCTATATTGTTGCATATTCGTATTTTGGTGATTACTAGACGAAATATACGATTAACAGGATCGTGATGGGCATTAATACGTAGAAGAAGGTCACCTTCATCATGTTTATACAGTCAGTCATAACAACTAGCTGCCTGAGAAGTTGTAACTTCGAAATTCTAAAATATAGGTCATCTAGCCCCGGTTCTCCCCTATTTCCTTCGATACCACGAGCCTTCTATTCTGAATGATTCGCCATGGTGACGCGCTGATACGACACGCGTCCTCGCGCATCGGCATGATCAGCGAACGAGCCGCCACAAACGGTCTGTGTCTCTCAAGTCTTCGCCATAAAAGTCTCACGATTACGTCACGGGTCGTGACTCACGAGGCTCTCGCCGGCCTAAAAACACTATTACCACGACGAGACGACTTCGTCAATAACGTTCCGTTAAGCGCGGCCGTCGTATCATCCGCGCGAATTCTAATGAGCCGAGCGAGATAACGTTGCTGCTGCTACGGTCCGGAAAGAAGAACACCCATTTCCTGTATCCCCGAATTTTCGAGAGTAACGAGCGTTCACTTTGTAGCCGATACCGCACGCGACTCTATTTCAGGTATAATTATTTGGAACTCTAGGAGGAGGCGCACCGTTTCCCGCGCGCGCACGCTGAACCGCGGTGCTATTTTCACCCGCGATATTACCACTCCGCTCTAGTAGCGAATTACAGATACGCAACATTTGTCTAAGCGCGTTAATTTATGATGCCGACGCCGCTACCTTTATCGGAATAACCCGAGCAAATGACGATGTCTCGATTTAATGAGCGGCGGAATATTAATCGCGTTCCTCGCGACGGATACGCGCAATAGACGGAGCTCGATAATTGCTAATTGATCTTAGTTGCAGAGCGCTATTAATCGGTGGATATGCGTCGTCCTACAAAGATAAATGCGCACTGAAACTTGACAAGCGAGGTAATTTCCCAAAAAGTCGTATACACTGAGAAAAATACGTCTAAACTTATTTGCGGGACACAAAATTGATTTCTGTGAATTTTTTCTGTGAAGTAGAGTTCGTTTTTGTGACCTTACTTGCTTACGTATCAACCAATAAATTTTTAAGTATTTTTTTCTCAGTATAACCTCTCGAGAACCGAATTCCAAGTGCCTGAAATACAATATTTAGTAATTAGCACGAGAATAAAACCAATGCAATATCTAGATTTCGAGGTTATCAATTTTTACAGAAATTACCCCACTTTTCTAATTCCGAGATTCTGATTTTACGGGACAACGCGTGTCTGCCTCGTATTCGTGATGATCTTAATTTTAGTCCCGCAATACGTTGTATCTGAAAACGGCACCGCGTCGTTCTTCAACCGTGTAATAAGCCGACATTATCAAAATGCTTCGACAATGACGCGAGGAAATTATTGTTATTCTTTTAGGACGAGACTGTCCCTCCCCCGTCGAGTAGTCGCGGAATAATCGACAACCGAGATATGGCAGCACCACAGGCGTCGTCGCGTCTCGAGATGTTGCAGGTAAATATGCGATCTATTAACGAAAAGAGTCACATAACTATTAACCTCCTCAGTGGCGATTGAAAACGACTGCGCGATTTCTCTGAGGGCGCAGTTTCTTTTTTCCTTTTTTTTTTTTAATAAACATCCAGGTTTCTTCTCTTTTCACTGCTATTTTCTCTGAAGAATTTTGGAAAAAAATGAAATACAAAATATATCTAAGCATCATTTGTATTCGTTATAAATGAGCAAAGAAAATACAATAGTTTAAATAAATCAAAAGGAATTTAATATTTTTTCATGAAATTTTTTTGGGCATACCATTTGAGAGGTTAATAAGAATTTAAACATTTACATATCTTAGAAATATAAAGAAGAGTTATTACCGCAGAGAAATTTCTCCGGTTAATAACCAGCCCGTAATATGTGCACAATTGACTAAAACTTTCCAGACTCGATTACAAAACACTTCATATATTCTCGCATTATATACTCGAGTGTTAGTCATAATATTTGTAAGGCGAATCGCGTGCATCTACGAAGATGTTACGTAAAGCAGATCGCAGTTCTTTTTTGCGACAACGTAATAACAAACTATACGCCGACTGTTCGCGTCGCTGCGTCCTCTGCAATTTTCTCCCTCCTCTCTCTCTCTCTCTCATAATCTCGAAATACTTTCTGGTTAAGGTAGACTGGTTAAACGGCAGCTCTGACGCGCGTTCTTTTGGCCCACGTATCGTACTTTCTGTATACCGAGCAAACGCATATATGGCATCTTGCACAGACAACGCACGCGCAACGATCGACCCACGTATCGAATATATCCAAATCCAATGGACAGTTAATATTTAGACAGGTAGACACTCTCAAACCTCTTCCGCCTACTCTTTATAACGTACATCGCCTTATATACGAACGGAAGAGCTTCAAAGGCGAATTTATCCACGCAAAAATGTGCACAGAAGAAAAAAGGATTTAGTTGGATTTATCATATTTTTTTGGTCGATATGAGCGAGCCAGAAATAATTTCGGTTGAAATTATCAAAACGCTGTCCCAGTTTCAGAACGCAAAGAAGATTTCTAGCTATCTAGAAATCTTTGGTTTGATTAACCGGAATCTTGTTAACTCGCATGGTAATCCGATAACTTCAGAGCCGGAATTCTGGCTCGTTCATACTTCACCAGACGCTTGGTTAATTCAACCAAATCTCTTTTTTCCGTGTGAGATACGAAACGTCGTAAAGAAATCGCCTGGTAAAACTTCGCTGTCGAATTTCGAAGGGGTACTTGTAATTCGCCGCGCGATTCGCTTCCCTGCGGAAAACTCGGCGAGAGATTTATCCACACTCGCGATCTTCAAGTCTTTCCAAGTGTCTCTCCTTTACTTCAACCTCTCACACGACACACCTCTAAGGACAATCCCCGGAAGAAAGCAAGCCCGTGCTAAAGCGAGACTCGAAGAGGGCAGAAAAATGGACGCTTGGCTTGTCAACCGTGACAGGCTGCTAGGACTCGTGACCATAATACTGTGACGTCACTTCCTTCACTTCGAGACTTCGACAGACTTCTCGAGCGCGTTACATCTACTCGCGAATCTTTATTAAGAAAAGGAAAAATAAGAGAAGAAAGAAAAGAAAGAAGGGAAAAGAGAAATGTTTATTTTCGCGATCCGACTTTGCGACTGCTGGCGCGCAAAAGTGCTCGAACTGGACCCGAGCGAACGACGCACGTACTTCTCGGTGCCCACGCTTGACCTTCTCGCCGTAAATGAAGGTGCGAAACGAAATAAAAAAGATCGCGAGCGAGAACGCGAATGCGTTACGTCATTATCGCCCGAGGTACCCGACTCGGTCGTAATTCCGCGTAGCTGCATATTATTGTATTAGAGACTTGCGAGAGAGAGAGAGTCAGCTCTCGTCCGATTTTTATCCATATTTTTTTCATTAATACAGCCACGCAACAGTGCGTGCCACCTTCAATGAAAGTACCTGCCATCGTTATTCATCACTTTCGGCCACATTTCAGGTAATTGTCTAATTGCGCAAAGTGACTCATCTCGCGAGCCCGATGAAATCACCGACGATGCGACGAGCCTCTGCAAGGCTCGATAGCCGACAGCATCGTTGGCTTGTCAGCAAAAACTTTGCGCTGAAGTCTTAGTGGCTGAGGCTACAGTAAAAAAAGTAAATCGCAACATTTTCTCCTCTCGACGAGCTTCAGAACGCATCCGATATCTCGTGGGAAAAATCATTTTACGAGAAATATTAAAGCAAAAATTCTATTGGAATATGAATGCGTTGTGAAACTCGTTGAAAAAGAAAGTATATTGTAGACCTCTTCCACTGGCTACACTGGTTTATCGTCGCGGTATAATGAGAAAAGTTGAGATTTATCGCTAAATCGTTAAGCCGCAAGAGAGGGCCCAAGCAGCGTAAATATTTCTATAATTTTGAAATGAACAATGCGGGAAATTCATTGTCGAGGAGGATTTCTAAAGAACAGTTTCGTTTCGCGAGGCAATTAGAGCGCAAAGTAATCGGAGCGCTCACTAGGCCATTTTTAGACATCGTAAGGAGACGATGTGTATCCACGAAGTTATTCGGGACTGCCGGATATCCTCCTCTGCTGCAGAAAGCAAGAAAGAATTGGGAAGTTTAAAGTGTTTAAGAGAGTGTTTTCTTAAGACAGAAGAAAAAAGATAACGGTCCTAATTATGGGATACTTAAGGTTAGAGCAACTTTCGTTCATTTACATAGATTTGTCGACAAAACACTAAAAAGAACTGTTAATACCGATATAAGCATCGTAGTTTTAAAGCAAAGTAATTAGACTTCAAATTCATTTATTCTAAATGTTTAAGGAGAAATAAATAGAAAATAAGTCTCAATCATGGATAAAATATTTCGCGTCGCTATGACTTTATGATATCTAATTTTATATTAATAATGTCCGTATTCATGGTCTTAGTCTATATAAAATAGTGACGTACGTGACACAATCTGCTAACAGTTTTATAAATTGAGACAGTCGCTAAACCCAAAAGATATTCTAAGTTTTTCTTAAATATTAACAATATTTGTGAAAGTAACCTTAGAATACAATAGTAAAAAAAACTAAAGAATATCAAAATATTTTATTCGTATTTTAATCGGAATGTGCATTTTTTAATATATTAATTAATCAAGCTTGACTCAGAATTAGGAATTGACTAATGATTGGGACCGTTATCTTATCTGTGTTGGCATTCGATCGATAGCAAAATATCACCTGTGCACAAACGTTATAATACAATGCAATAACACAGGAATTGAACATACTTTAATGAAGAAGTGTCTGACAAGTTGTACGTTTAGCGTTTTTCTTTCCCTTTCTGTTCTCTTATTTTCTCTTCTCTCATACACCGAGTGTCGGGCATTCGCGCGATAATTTGCAGCGTGCGTCAACACGCGAGGAAAAGGCGCGCGAAGAAGGCGAAACTCTCGCTCGGATAAAAATCCGCAACGTGGATTCGGAGCAAGGAGGACCACACGATAAAACGGTAACGGGTAGCCCATAAATAATTGATGAGAAGGCACAGTGCGGAGCTTCGCTCGCCGCCGATTTGTAATTGTAATCTCGCGAGGTGCATGCCCAGTTAAGCAAAGTAATTATGGGCAGGGGTCTCGTTATCGGGACACGCGCACGATCTCTATGGGAGACAGCGAGGCGCGACCACGTCGCCGCTGTCTCAGAGTCACCCTGATTTTTGCCCCTTCGGGCATTCCATTACGCTCGTTAACGTTTAATCTTCGTTACCGCGAACGACGCGTTCAATATCTTAGGAGAGATTCCGCGGACGGCACGTTGACTCCGAGGGGAGTAGGTGAATAGCGGATGGTGTCGATATCGCCAACGAGTGTCCCTTAGACATACCCGAGTTCTTTAAAATTTTTCCGGGAGTATCCGAGGGTGCTCAAGCGTCATAATTAATGCACATAATACCTCGGAAAAGTAAAAGACTAGATCAGTTGACACGAGATTGGCTGCTACGAAAAGCGGTAACAGATGGCAGATGGGTGCCATTAGTGATTCTTTACTTCCAGTACACGGGGAGAATATTGTGGTAAAAATTACAACTAAATTTTTGTAATCTTAGACTATACAGAACTATGACTGAAAAATTTTTCTCAGTGTATATAATTTTTCAGTCATAGTTCTGTATAGTCTAAGATTACAAAAATTTAGTTGAAATTTTTAATAATAATTATAATTATCCAGCCTGTGTTGTATTACTACATTTAATAAAATAGTATCAACTATATATAAGAAGTAAATATTACTATATGAAAGTTAATGTTATTAAAAAATTTTGTAATTATTACCAAACATTTGATAATATTTACTATATTGGTTACTATATTGGTTACTATTTACCAAATGATATGGTAAAACGCATTTGGTAAGTATTACCAAACTTTTTTTTTCAGTGCACGGATATATGTGTGTTTAAAAATGTTAATTACTCTTAAATGTTTGACTCTTTACTACAAAATTATTTGCATGTTTTTTGTATTGTATATTCGGTAGATCGTGAAAATTTACTATTTTTATATTACTACTTATTATTGCTTTATTGTTATATACATTTCTATTTCTGCATTATTATTATTATTTTGGTACTTAATATTAATATCAATTAATATTTAATTTATATTATATTTACGGTAAGCTCTTGTAAGCTAGATTATTTATTTTGGAAAAGAAAGAGTGTTCTCAAGTGGCTCAGTTAATAATTGCAAATTGGAGTATCGATTAGATGTTTTTATATTGTATTTTCGGTAGGTCGTCAAATTTACTATTCTGTAATAATGAATATTACTATTTCAATCTAGCTTCACAAGAAATATTCTAAAAAGGAATATAATTTTAACTACAATATCTCCTCGGTACTTAACTATCTGGCTATTTTTATTATTACCTTATTGCTCTACATATATTTCTATTTTTATATTATTATATTATTATTATATTTTTATATTATT